CATTAACATATTTAAATGAGCTATGTAATTTAGACATTTGGGCAGCATCCAGCATTTTGATTGGTTAATTAGTGACTTGACCTATCCGGTCAATAATACGTCACTTGAGCATTCAAAAACATGGCGGATATCGTATTGGCTGTTTACATGTGACTGAAATCATTCGCTTACGGGGAAACTAAGTTGAATTTTACTTGCATTTTATAACAATTCAACGGATTTATTTTTTGTGCGTTATTGTAATCACTACTAGATAATAATAATCACCAATATCAACACTTCGAAAACAAGTAAGTTATTCACTTGTGACCAGCAGCATGGCCGGATCGAGCTACCGTTCTGTGATCATTTGCTACTAAGCAGTGCATTCGTGTTTTTATTTGAAACTTCTGTTAGAATATACTTTTCGTTACCAAGAAAATTAAAAAAAATAAATGCATATTACATTAAAAATACTGAGTATTTTTTGTATCATGTTGAATTTTTTTTTGATTGACAGTAATTTTTCAACATTTCGTAACGCCTATTTTAGAACTAAAATAAGGCCTTTCACTCTTCCCCGACGCCTATTCAAGAGATTGTACGGTGTATTGTTTGTTTTGTGCATGTGTTGTGGACAAAACATGACCACTCCCATTTAGTGATTGCAATATGTACGTAATAGAAACCGCACCCCGAACTTGAGCTTTCGATCCCAATTTGTAAATTGATACATTGTAATATAAACCGCGGTTTATAATAGGACTTTAACGGTATGACACACAGACAATAACAACATAAGTGTGCCTCACACAGAAGGCTGAGAATTATGATATAACTAGGAGTAAAAGTGAAATGAAACTAAAAAAATACAAATGTTAAATTTACCTTAGCAAAAAGTGTTTTTCCAGTACCAGGTGGTCCGTGGAATAATAAATTTCTATATAAACCTTTGTTTCTCTTTGTGTTCCTGGTTGCTATAGCAACTTCTCGTAGTCGCTCTTCTAAAGATGGCTGATAGAAAAAAACAATCATGTAATCAATTTTTACTGACGCTCTAGAGAATATTTTAGAAGATAACTTTTGAGGATACAACAGAAAATCCAAATGCACTCTGAACCGTCCCCCCCACCCTCCTACTCATATTTAATAAACAATTGTACATATTATTCCATGTTAAACCAAATCCTTGCCAAACTCTTTGCTACAGTCATCGTATTGCTTAATTACTAGTCAATTAATTTCACCAAATAATATTTTTTAAGCGCACAATTTTTGATAAATCTAACACAGCAAATTGTTGATACAAATTTATACAAGAGGTATACATTTTATCATGTTGACTATCTGAAAAGAGTTGTGGATCTGAATGACACCCCGACTACTTTACTTCACTACATCTACATACCTGTAGAATGATTCCTTTTAATGCGTCTTCCGGTTTCACAAACAACCTTTTAGTTGTCTTGATTGGATGCCTCAAACCTTCAAGTAGATTAAGTCTGGATGTTTCTCTAACCAGCGATGGTTTACCAAGCCTTGCTTCGATATACCTAGCGCCTACTCCAGTAGCCATCTTGGCTGAATAGACACCTACTGCTAGTAGTGTTAGCCCTGCTGCCTAAAAAGATTATAGAATATTAGTAATATCGTTATTATCAAGAATTATGGACAATGTTGCAAATGATTTTGTGAGAGGTGGCAGAAAATAAAATAGCCATCAATGTGCCACACTTATATGTAGATGAGACAACAAAGTATGTTTCTATGGAAACCACAGTTATATATTCCCCAATATATTGTGGATTCTTACAATTGAAACTATAACTATATTTATGTGACTCTTAGTGGTTCTACATGTGAACACATATTACTTACTGTAGCGGATACTTTGTCCCAGTCACTGATGAATGCTTTGAATCCCTCCCCAATGACAGTTCCGGCAGCTCTGTAGAAAAAACAAATCTGAAAGTTAGTTTGTTTCTGATTTGAATTATCATTAATGTACTTGCATCCTCAGTGCCAAGAAAATCATTGTTTCTCGATTCCATTGTGAGGATTATTGAATATACATTATGTGAATCTGTTGTAAATCACAGTGTCCACAAATTTAATATAGTGAAAAATGATGTTTTTTTGCACTATTTTAACACTGGATGTTTATATTTTAAATATGAAGATTGAGAAGTTTTAGACATTAAAGCATCAGTATGCATTTATATATTGTGATATTAAATGATTATGGTGCATTAGTTATTTAAACTTGGAGAAAATCATTAAAAGTGTACCCTCTTAATTATTGATAATAAAGAAAGTGTCACTAAAAAGCTAATTTGCATACGTAATTGATTGCAATACAGTTTCTCTGTATTCTTTTGCTTGTAATCGTAATTGATCTGCTCGTATGTCCCGATTTTCTCTTTCGATGCTGGCTTTGCCTCGAAGTTCGGCTTCCAACTTCTTCATTTCATTGTCATGTCTGAGTTGTGCTTCGTATTCAATTGTGCTTCGTCTCATTGATTCTTGTTTCTCAACAGACTCTTCCTGGCGTCTCAAATTCTCTTCATTCATACGTTGCTGCAATGTAGAGTAATATTACAAGATTATTTCATGAATATTGTAAAGTATTCATCTGGCAGTATGGTTGACTTCAAATAGACATACATATCACTGACGCAATAAACAACAATAACACACATACCAAAAACCTCTGAATTGTCAACTTGTACTGATATGGATTTCATAAGTATGTAGTCATGCAAAATTAATTACTATAAATGCATTAGTTATTCACTGTATTTTAATTTTGCTATTTTCACTGATAAATAAAACGTAATCTGCTAAATTGAATTTATGTGAATATGTAAATTTACATAAAACTCATATTTCATTAAAAATCTGAGAATTTAAAACTTAGTTAATACAATCATATAACAAATAGAGAAATCAACTTTTTTCATCTTTCAGAAAATAAAAACTACAAAATTTGTTTTCAGATTTTGATCAAGACTTGTAGCTACCGGTAATATGAAATTAAGTTATTCAAAAAATTATAAAAAACACATAAATATAGACAAAATTTGGCCGATTGCTATAGTATTGTGCAATAAAGCATACCTGTTGAATCAGCTGATCCTCGTATCGTTTCCGTGCCAACTGATCCTGATACTGCGCTCTGTCTTGGTGTTGTCTTGTTTCTTGACTCAATGTTTTTCTTTTCTCATCACCCTGAGTACGTATCTGTTCTACTTTCATTTGTTCCACATGCGCTTCAAATTCCTACAGATACAGCGTTATCAATTAAGGGATGAACCATTTTAAATGATGGGGAAAGGCTTGACAGATTTGAGAGAAAATAAATTTCCAGATTGCCTTTAGTGCTAGATGGAATGTATCTGAGTTTAACACTTGTACATTATTTTATCCTAAATAAAACAATGTGCATTACCAATAAACAGTATAATACTTACTCGAATTTGTTTCTTCTCTTCCAATTGTTTGGATTCTTCCTGTTTCATAGCAAGCGCTAGTGCTTCTTTTGCATTGGCTGAGAAAAGACGACAACGTACATTACAATCCTCACCATACACACATATTTAACTCAATTGCAAAGTATCAGATGCATTATAGGAGAGAAATTCAAAATGAGTACTAAAGTCAACTTGTGACACATTTCACAAAATGTAGCCAATATAAAATGATTTTGGTCCAAAGTTATCAAACACATGAAAATACGCAATTTTTTTTTTTTGGGGGGGGGGACTCAAAGGGTTATTATTTTAATGGAAAAATAATCAAATATTATTATTTGAAATAGTATTAGGAATTTCTCAGAAAAATTCTAAATGTGCTAATAGTAATACTATTACTTATAAAAAGATAATTTCTAAGAACTAATGGATTTTTTATCATATGATAAGCCAACAGAATTTCACTAGTGACTTTGTATCATGCAAATCAACATGACAACACACTGTAACACAGCCACAAAAATGTAAACATTAACTTTTTTTTACTCACTGATATCTACAATATTTTTACACTACAATATTTTTTAATAAGAAACAACAAATTTAAAATCAGATCACATTTGATATGATGTACATTCTCCTGAAATATATTGCTACAATGTATGTAATTTTATAGAAAACAAATATACTTCTCGGAGAGGTTCTTAGTATTTTTTGACAATTTTTCATAACTGTGTTTATCTTTGGAATGACTCTGAACAGCAATTTGAGTTTCAAATATATTCAATTTTTTACAATATTTATTGAGGAAATAACCACATAACATAATTGTGTTTTTTTTATTTGTTTTTAGGTTTAGTGTCACCTGGCAAGTGTGAGTGTTCAGCTGTTCTGAGGATAGTGGGGATATTATAATTTAGTTAGATCCTACATAGAACAGAATGGGAAGAGGCTAGGCATGGGGGTAAATCACTAACACGAAAGTAAAAGTGATGGCCATCATCTTGCTACAATGCACATGTACAACAAGACCACTATAACTGTTACATCTCTGTACACGTTTTAAAGCCCTGGAGAACAGAGATATTCTGTTAATTTTGTATAATATCTCAAATATCTTGGCTTGGGAGGGAGGGAAGGGCATGCAAAGGATAATTACTCACACCTAACCATTTCAAAATAACAGTTATGAGGATTAATTTTAGTATTTTCTTTTACTACAATCTGTGTTTCATATTCTCCCAGAAGTTACATACTTTTTTTTTTTTTATATAGGAGCATTCTACCACCCATAGATTATGAAATTAATATGCATATATTTTATAATAATTATAAATGACAGAAAATAATCTATATGCAGATAAGTATAATAAATAATCGCACACATTGACTAATCTAGTTATCATTCTATTTAACCCTTATCTAGTCAATGTAAAAGTATATGGGATGGGATAGGGTGAGGGTTAATTTCTATAGCGACCCGCATCAATAGCCATGGCGAATAATTTAAATATCCTTTTCAATGAATCAGAGGTCAAGGCCTTGTGCATGATTTTCCTACGCTAATAATTGTCAACTCGTTAAGACTTACGTGATTTATCAAGATCTCTTGCTGCAGTAGCTGCACGTTCTAGACCGGTGGGGTCAAACCCTTGCCATACTTGTTTCTTGCCACCAGAGTCGCCGGTACCCTTGTCGCCGCCTCCACCGCCCGCTCCCCCGGCAGCAGCTCCACTCTGCGAAGGATCCATCGGTAACTGGGCAATATTGGACCACGATGGTTCCTTGTTAACACCAAATAACCACGACATGATGGTCTGATTTGGGTTTCGTTGGAATTTTCAATCACAGTATCACTGTACTCGGTGTACAAACTGACGAAACGCTACACGTGAGTTTCTCTCAGCGTCAAAGGTTATAGGCTGTCACGCATGCGCACATTAGTTTAGACTCATTCCTCCCACCTTGTCCCGCTCCGCATTGCACGTATCACTACGAGAACATTCTGAATACGGGTGAAATTTAAAGTGGTTATTTTTTTTATTTTTATCATAAAATGGTAATGAAAATAAAAAAAAAAATCCTGATCACTCCTCCATTTCGTGAACAATACAATATTTAATATTTGTATTTCCTTCGAAAAGAATAAGACTGGTAAGCAAGTCTACATGATAATATAATTCAAACAACAGAAAACACACCTAATTAATAATAATAATAACTTTAGTACGCTACTGAAACCATATAAGATTTTAGTTTAGAAAATTACAAAAACATAGCACAGACACAAATAGTGAAACAAAAAAATAACCCACATAAATTATTCTATAGATATCTTGCTAAAAGAAGATACAGATTCAGATATAGATTGAATGAAGATGGATTGTTCATGCACGTGACCATCACTCCTATCATTGAGGTTGCAGCCAATGAATGTGTTTAAAAGATGAACATGTCATAATGATATGCAATTTAATAATAATAATACGTGAACTAACGCTGATTTGATATAATAATAATAATAATCATTTCATGATAATGATATGCAAATTAACCTTAATAACAATATAATTGCATTTTCTGTATTTTTAGGTTTTCGTGATTTTAACCGACGCAGCATCTTTACATGGGTTTAAACTTTACCTTTGTACTACCCGGAAATAAAAGTATTTTATTTGGCCAAAATAATTTTTGATCAAACATCTTTTATATATGATCATGTATAACCAGGATAATTTCTAGAATGCTATCTGAAGACCCGTGTGAACAAACGTAAAACTTTAGACCACTGAAACAAAACGTCGGTTTGATCTCATCGGCGTGGATCGATCGCTAAATCGTTCTATATTCTGTTGTTATCATGCTGCATATGGGTAGTTTTGTATTCTATCGTATCACATATTCTGCCGTGCTGATGAAATGGCGTCAAACCCTAAACGGCAGAGTTCCGGAATCTGTGAAATTGCGTTAAAATTATACTTGATCATATATAATGTTGCTAAACTTGATTTTTATATAAAAAAACGTAAATTAGGTTAAATAGTTATGTTGGCTATCTTAGGGATTTTATAGGCCATTTAGAAAATGCTTTCGAAACAACTTAAAGTCTATGTTGGTAAATTTTTTCATTCATAACATTTTTGGAAACCGTGATAAATATATCAGATATATTACTACATGTATTTCAAAACAGGATGCCTTCAAAAAATTATAAACAGCGTTTAGGCACTATAAAACTGTTTACAAAAACAAAGTAATTAAGGTAGAAGCCTACTCATGATTTCAAATACCCAGAATTTATTCATTTTCCAATAAATTGTACTTCTGGGCAATACAAGGATATTGACTGGGGGTCACCACTTTTCAAAAACATAATGGTTGTATTTTAACTTGACGGATAGTGTACATTTTGGCAATACTATAGTGCATACATTACTACTATATGGCAGAGATAATGTACCATATCTCAAATAAGAGAGTTTAAGATTTGCGTACGTAGCGGGAACGTAACGTGTTGTTCTAATTTCGTTTGCGTTACGTTCTCGGGTGTCAGAAAACGATTAAGTACAACCAGCCACAACGGGAACGTAACTGAATCAGAACCATGTAAACTCGTCTCTCATTGGGCAACCATAATATAACTATCCCATGAAATTTGTTATGTCATTTCACATCCGGAATCTAAATTTCCCACACATTTGACAGAGCTCTCGCTATATCCATCTATTTTGCTGAGGTCCCAGGCCTGTTTGCCGAAACCTCTTTCAGCAGATCAATGTCATGCGTTACCATCCATCTAAATAATAATAATAAATTAGTACACTACCGTGACTGAAACCATCTAAGATTTGAGTTTAGAATATTGTCTTGACATTGAGATGTATCTTTGCAATGCAATTAGGAACAATGCTAAACTGTGCTAAAACTGACTATACATAATATTTCCACTCCATTCATCAATGTTCTCCCAACTGAGTTCGATAACCCCTTCTTCCCACGATTTCATTTCTGTATTATGAACTATCAATTACATGAAACAAAGAACTTTACATTTGAGTAGGTACTAAATAAATAGTATTGCACGATGATTAAACCGGCGAGTTGCAAAAGATGTATCAGATTCATCCCTGCTATGTTTCAAGTTATCATGATCGTTTGTGAACTTTATTAATAAATGTCCGTGCGTAAACTGACAGTGAGTACACTACAACGAATCAGTGAGTACAATTATCAGTTTATAACATATATAATACATCTGCAAATTTGAGAAATGATATTTCTTTATGAATATGGCAATGGTGAACTTAATGTGTGAACTTAATGGTGAACTTAATGTGTAGATTTCCACCTTTTCCTGTTTCAAAATATCCCCACAGTCACAGACGAATGAAAATTTTGGCAGTGCGCCCTCAATCGATCACAACAACCGAAATGGAACGTTTGTGTCATAGCTGCTAGAAGTTCCAAACGTACACGTTCTCTCCAGTGCTTTTCGCTCTGAGCAACAAAGCTATACACATCGTTATTTTACGAGCTCTCAATTCGTGCCGATAATATCTATCTCTGCTGCCTGTTGATAATCGGTTTCACCACACTTCAATATGGGAATGTGCAACAGTAAAGTTAAATTCTCTCTCCCCACTTTTGGGAAGAGTTTTAGAAGAAAATCCAGGAAAATCAGAACCAGCACTACGGATGTACATCCGTTTACAGAAGATGATAACGGAAGTATTGGTC